CCTAGGATTTTTGTTTGTTTTTTTTTTCTGCTAATTAGCCATAGCCCTAATAGCCTATTTTCTATTTCTCAAAAAATTTAAGTGTTCTGTTCATCATTCTATAACCTGCTACAAAAGACACAACACAAATATAAACATAAACAACAAACTGTCAACTTTCTTGAACTATTGCGCATGCGTTTGTTTTTGAACCGAGGCGAAATCTCGTTTCAAAATATTTTCAAACAGTTTTGTTATGACGCCATTGGTTCAACGCGAAAATGTAATGTTTCGAATTAGGTTCAACCTGGTTCAACCAATTTAAGCGAGAAAAAACACCTTAACTTCGCTGTTGTTTAGATCAGGTATTGCGGAATTTGCGGAAACTTCCGCCATAACCTCTTTTGTTGCAGGAACGTGTTTGCAGGTAGCTTTCTTTTGTTCGGCACTTTGAACTAAACAGGAAAAGTGGAAATGCTCCCCGCACTTGCTGCACTTTGATATATCCACTACTACATATTTTTTACAATGTTTACATCGTAGATTTTTCACATTTTCGGAGCGGAATTGCGCCGAGACTTTCTCGGGCGCCATGTTGGTGACGTACTGTTGACGAACGACGAACAAGTTCACAATAGTTGAATTCCTTTCACACCTAGGAGGAGCTCCGGAACAACTCCGGGGCTTCACGCCCCTATTCCTTTCGAAAAGTGTTTGTTGCATCACGCATCTGTTCCCTGCAAATCGGGGGCGACTGAACACCGCAGCGATTAGCTCGAGTGTTTCAAACTCTTGAAAGGAATACAACTATTGAGGCGGCGTGTCGCGCGCTGTTAACATGTTCATTTGAAATCTAATGTTGAAATTATTTTTGGGCATCGCTACAGCGGCATCGCGCAACGCTCACCGCTCGAGCGGTGTCAATGTGAACGCGCACTTAGGATAGTACGCGACGCACAACTGACAACGTAACGTCATCATTGGTTCAGGTATGACGTATACCCGTTCCCTGACGTCAGTGTCAGCGTCAGCGTCAGAAAACGGGTGTACGTTATACCACTGACCCAATGACGACGTTTACATTGTCAGTTGTGCGCCGCGTACTATCCTTAGAAACCGTACCTTGAAGCTCTTCTATTGTCTGATTTTAAAGCGTTGTAAAACACCTAAGGGCGGGTATTATAAAACTGCTTTGACAGTTAACTTGAAGTTAACTTTTTGAATTACATGTAATTCTAGAAGTTAACCTTGAGTTAACTCTCAAAGTAGTTTTATAATACCCGCCCTTATTCTGCAACAATACAAACTGGGGGGAGATTCTAAAATCACGATTCGACACACGACCGACGATCCTACGTTGGAATCATACCAAAGGCCGGTATCGAGTTGCGTCTCGTTGTCGAGTCGTGAGTCGAATCGTGATTTTGGAATCTCCGGGCTGGCTACACTGCAACCCACTATTTGCGCCAAAAAAAGTGTCAAAAAATCTTTAACCGAAATAGCCGACAAAAATTCCCGGTGGATCCGGTGCCTCACCGTAGAGATGTTATGGAACAGCTTTTTCTTGTACCTGGTATGACCTGTACCTGTTCCCAACGCAAACCTATTCCAAGTACCTGTTCCAGCTCCAAAGTATTTCCTGTCAAATGGGAAGTAACGTCATTCAGAAGTTAACTTCTACCCTGATAACACAGGATTTTCCTGGGATATCCTGCCAATGTACTATGAAAGTATGAATGTCCCGTACCTTGATAATACATTCCCAGAATGTTTCAGATAGAATATAACTGGAATATTTAGATGTAATATTCAAGGAACATCCCTCAAATATTCCTGTTTCTTTGTTTTGTGATTTCTTATTTATAATTCTCAGCTTAATTAGCAGCATATAAAGAGAAAAAACTTTTAAAAAAATCCCATTGCCAGATTCAGACCAACAAGACCAACGACCCAACTGCGCTTCGTCAGTTCGTCTATCAACCAGCAGTGTTGATTATGACGATACCCATTTTCGACGTTGTCAGATTTCTTTGGATGATTTTATTCCATATAAATATGATGAAATATACCTAGTAGTTTCATAAGTTTTCGAATTTTATATGTAATGTTTGTATATAAAAATACAATTAATAGGTTGTATATTTTTTTATATTGGCGATATTTTACTCGTTACACAAAAATAATATACGTGACAACTGGCAACGTCGAACAAAAGCCGCACGTCACAAGCCACGGCACCTCACTTCATATTCATCGCAGACAACCTAACCTCACTCCGAAAAAACAAGTCAGCAAATTTTATTGTTTGTTATTAATTTAGTTTTGTTTTAATTACAAAATAATCGTTTTATCGGTGGTCGGTTTTGAACAATAAAACGTTCGGTGCTTGGTTTGCTCGTGTTTTTATATGGTTTTTCGTAGATTTTTCCACGAATTTCCCACATAATTTTTCACTGGCTCTTCCAATTTTTGAGGTTTCGTTACCTTTTGCATTTTTGTGTTAGGTAAGTACTACATGTAGCCTGTTCAGTAATTTATTTAAGAGGTTTTTAGAGTGCTTACAGTGCTGAAGATGGATCCTACAGGAAAAAAGTATTGTTGAGCAACTAATTATTGTCAAAGGAACAAACAATCAAGTCATTCAGAACCTGATCTACAAGATGAGCATCAGAACCCGAGGCAGCATCCTTTCTCTAGTTCTACGCTCGTTTCTATGACTGAGAGGACATTTTACTTGGCTACTTAAGATTCTATGAAGATTTTAATCAGATACCTTCTACCGTTCTAGGCGTTCTACCTGAACAAAGTATCAGCACGCATTATTACTCTTCAGAAAATGGAACTTTCTAGGAAACTGTTGATGCAAGTGTTGGATGTCAATTTACAATTTATAATTTGAATAATATCTATAATTAATAAACCTAAACAAAAGTGTGTCCCACTAGTTTATTTGTGGGATGTTCTGTGCATGTTCCTCCTATATCCCACAAAAATCCCGAATATACTATGTGGGATGATTGAAGATATTCCAGGAATGATTCAATAGAACATTCCTAGAACATCCATTTTGATGACAAAAGCGTCTCCTGGAATGTTCCAGGAATGTTTCAGGATCTAAACAGAATCTTCCAGGAATATTCTGATTGTCCCAACTAAATATTCTTTGAACATTCCTGGGATGTCTTTGTGTTATTAGGGTAAGTTAACTGTCAAAATAGTTTTATAAGGGCGGGTATTATAAAACTACTTTGAGAGTTACTTAAAGTTAACTTCTTGAATTACATGTAATTCAAAAAGGTAACCTTCAAGTTAACTGTCAAAGCAGTTTTATAATACCCAGCCTAATACCCACCCTAAGGGTGGGTATTATAAAACTGCTTTGACAGTTAACTTGAAGTTAACTTTTTGAATTACATGTAAAGTGCGTTTTTTTTTAAAGATAAAAGTCAAACTGACATTAGGTTGGCAATACAATGTAAAATTGTCAATGCTATCAAATTTTTCATGTAGAAAAGGCTTGTGTTGTCAATATAGTTACTAAATTTTTGACTTGGGGAATTATCTTTAAAAAAAAAACAGATTTTAATTCCAGTAGTTTCCAAGTAGTTTTATAATACCCGCCCTAAGGGCGGGTATTATATAACTACTTTGAGAGTTAACTTAAAGTGTACTTCTGGAATTACATGTAATTCAAAAAGTTAACTTCAAGTTAACTGTCAAAGCAGTTTTATAATACCCGCCCTAAATCGAATACCGATTGATGATTCGAATGCTGACAAGTGGCAATCCAGTGTAGTAGATTCTACTATTTCATTAAATTAATTAATATACTAGAGGTGTTTTCTGGCCTCTCTAAGTTTTGAAACATTTTTCAAAACTTGTTTAAAACAGTTTCACAATGACGTCATAATTTCTCGGTGCAAGAAAATGGATTTAAACATGGATAGGATTGTATTTCGAAATGGTTCGAACCAATTTTGATATGACGTCATGGGTTCATCGCGAGAATATACTATTTCAAACCTGTTTCAAAAAAGTGAATGCGAGAAAACAGTTTCGGTTTAGGGCAAACACATGACGTGCAAACGCCTGCTCTGCGAACCCGGAACAGGTGAATCTAATATTTGTTAACACATTGCGTGCCGCGTCGCTCATATATGCGAGACATGACATCAACATTTCACAGAGGGCTTCGTCGCTCATTTCTGAGAGACACACATCTCTCACTTTCTGGCCATGTATATCAAATATGATACCCGCTACCGTGTATTTTAAATGGAGAATCCGAAGCTTGGCCTCTGGGGAAAATAATATGAGTCTTGGTTTGAGCAAAATTGGAAAAATAAATTCACTACAACAAAATTTTTGAAAAATATTGATTTCGCGTATTAAAAACATAAAATTTTATTCTGAAATAGCTGATTTTACGCAATAATAAAACAAAATGAGAATATCTTTCTTGCCGGCAAAAGCAAAAAGAAACGTTGATCATATTTGAGAGTAAATACATACAAATATTGCAAAAAGTGGTTTGGCCCCTGGGGGTATTTTCCCGATAACAGCGTGGCACGCAATGTGTTAATAGGTACACGGAACAGACAGTTCGTACCTCTTCCAAAAGAACCGTAACATTCCTACCTCACCGGTTTCAAACAGCTGATCATTCTGGTCAGCAGTTTTGGAACGGACGATCTGGTTCAACTGGTAAAAAGTTGTAGTTCAAGAAACAAATTTCCCTAATCTTTTGAAATTGACGAAAAAGTTAACTCACAAGCAGAGCCTGAATCGCAAACAATTCACCGAGGTCTGCAGGCGACGTCACCACCATCGGCCGCTGATAGTGGTGACGTCACTCGCAGGCCTGCTCCTGACTCGAAATTGGCGATTACGATGAGCAATCCTCTTTTGAATCCTCAAAGAAGACCTTCCTAGGCACCTAAAAACGCGCTACTTTCAACAATCACTTTTTTCATTTCAAACTGAATAGATTTTTCATAAAGCATGATAATAAAACAACTAGGTATTTTGTAACAAAAAAATACTTCATTTATGATAAAAAAGAATCTTAAACCCAAGAATCAACCACAATCCTTCCACTTTCCACCAAACCATCCAAGATCTTTTCAGCGTTTGGCCTCTCGATACATTTACATTCCATAAAGCACTGTACAAAAATTTCCTTCACATCTTTTACAACAATTTTGTCACCGCACACGTACACAATTGCCTCTTCATCAAAAACTTTAACAATATCTTCTTTGTTTTCAAAAATTCTATTTTGAACATATTCCTTTGTATTTCCCTCTCTCGAAAAGGCTGTAGAGAGTTTAGTTAATGTTTTATTCTCTTTGTAAACTTCCAATTTGCTTCCAAATAAAAAATCTCTTGTGGAATATCTGCAACCATAAAAAAGCCACGTTTCTTCTGAAGCACCAATGTTGACTTTGTGTTGTAAATAACCAAGAAATGGTGCTAAACCTGTACCAGTTGCCACTAATACAATTTTCTTATCTAAATTGTTCAAGCGAAAATTACTAGGTTTTCTAAAATATATGGGAATTGGTATTGTTTTACATTGTTCGCTGTTAATGCACTTTTCAAGCCAACCTGTACAAACCCCTTTTAAGCCGTTTTCTAGCACTAAAATATTGAATACAATGGACAGATTTTTGTCTAATGGAGAAGAAGCAATTGAAAAAAATCTTGGATTTAGGGCTGTGGAATGCTCTAATATTAATTCTATAGGCGGTTCGCAAGAAGGAAATGAATTTAGTAATGCTAACAAGCTGCGGTTTTGTGTCAAAAGTGTTGTGTATTCACTTGAGCCAGCAGGAGAACATATAAAATCAAGTTTTTCCTTTTCTGTAGGATCTTTAGTATATTTCATAAGGCTTTTTAGGAATAACTGAAATGAGAAACATAATATAAGTAATAGTTACTAAAGAGAACTGTTTTTACCTTTTTGGGTGCACTTCTGATGTCAATATATTTCAAAAATATGCTGTAAATATTATCGTGTTTTGGTAAATATTTTGGCACAGTTGCGTTTTTCTTAGTTGTGTTTTCCAAAATTTCCAATTTACATGGTTTATGGCTAATTTCTTCCACTCCAAGCCTTATTAGCAGCTCGTTGACTTCGTTTTCATCATTTTCAGGCAAAATGCCTATTGCGTCTCCAGGAAGGAAATCAAATGAGCGCTCCTAGAATCTGCCTATAAGATTTTTGATTTAAATTAAATATATTATAAAAAGGAACCTTTAGAGTTAATTTTACATGATAAACTGTCTTGACATCGGGTCCTTGGGTAAGTAGTTCATAGTTTTTGATAAATGCCTGTTGCACTGGGCTATGAGAAAATGGTTTGTTGCGATATTCATAGTTGTCAACCTGAAATTTGAAGTGAATTTGTTGGATGATATGTTTAACAGTAATTTAGGTAGGTTTTTACATTTTTCTGATTCGATGTTTCCTCAAAAACAATTTTTAAGAAATTTGCCATGCTAAAAATACAAAGGAGGTTATGTTATGGTCGTGGCACGTCGTGGTCGTTTCGATGTCGATGGATGTCAAGGATGATACACACAACTACTACAGGATGGCTTATCCTCATAAGGCCTGTGTGTAACAAATCCCCCTCTACCCCCCTAAGCCAAACAACCAGTTGTGACGTAACAGCATGGCGTTTCTCGCCTTGACGTAGACTCCTTAAACAGCTGACGACTTAGTTATGACGTCGGCAATGGTTGAAAACAGCCTTGGATGGATGTCGTCGTTCAGCAACACATATTACTACTACAGGATAACCTATCCTCATAAGGTCTGTGTAGAACAAATCTGAAGCCCACCCCACGCCAAATCACCACTTGTGACATGATACCATGTCGTTTCTCGCCTTGACGTAGGCTGTTTGCACAGGGGCGAGTTCAGAAATAACACACCGGGTGTGAGTGCGATTTTATGGGTGTGACTGAAGGGAATTTTCATATTTCTCAAATTATTTTTTTTTAGATACTTCTAGTCATCAGTTATAATATAATTTTCTTTTTTTCCATTTTAATTTATACGTTGTACGAAAAAAAAATTATTGAAATTCAAATGAAATACTTTGGCGCGAAAACACGAAATTTCAATTTGACAGCGCTTGTGACGTTGAGATTTTGTAAACATAAAATACGCAGCAAACGAACTCTTGCTGACGCAGTGCTATTTTTGTGTTATTCAAGTGTATTAAAGTTTGCTTTTTGTGAAAATTGTCGCAATGGATGAAGAATATTGTGAAGGACTGCTTTTGTATTTTTTTTACGTGCAAATTTCCTATCACAGATTTCCTTGGATTTCCCTATTGACGGGTTTGTTTACAGAATCGTGACGTCAAAACAGGTATTCATCATAGGAGCATTTTTTTGGCGGGAAAATTTTTATTTCAAATTTAATATTATTTTTTTACTACTAACCTGAGAAATAGTCATTATTCAATCTATTTTTTTAGGAAAAAATTGAATTTCTCTCCCTAGGTTAATAATGAAAATAATGAAAAAATACCTAGGTCAATAATGAAAATGACGTCATGATGAGAGGATATTGTCATGTTTCTATTGGTCCAATTTCAATTTCATACGTCAATTCAAAAAAAATACAGGTTTCTGTAGGTACATATAGGAAGTTATCATAAGCTGTTGTTAGAGGGCAGCACTTTCAAAAGGGCGTTCAAAAAAATAATTAAGAGCACAGATTTTGAATATTTTTTTTATTTTCTACTAGTAGTAGTAAAAAAAATTCTATATATTCCTCGGTAGAGAAAGTCATTATATACCTTACACATTATAAACCTCGGCGCTCCGCGCCTCGGTTTATAAAAGCGCTCGGTATATAATGACCAACTTCTCTACCTAGGTATATAATATACTATTTTTGTGTAACAAGGGCGGCATCAGTTAAATAAAAACTGGTCATATGAATATTGTGCAGCATAAACTATCGATTTAAAACAAATTTGGAAAATTTTACTTCACTTGCAAGTTCCCTATTCAGGCGACAACTTTCGTATGAATTTCTGAAAGCTTGGTGTGACCAATCGAGCATCTCAAAAATTTCACAAAATGTTTTATTAAGATTACTTTTTTTTGTTGTTCACTTTTTTAATTTGAAGAAAAAACTGTAGCTCTTGCAGTGGCGACAATAGAGGTCCCGCCGCCATTTTGTTCCTCTTGTCACTTTCAAATATTAATATATAGGATTTAGGGCGGGTATTATAAAACTGCTTTGACAGTTAACTTGAAGTTAACTTTTTGAATTACATGTATTTTCAGAAGTTAACTTTCAATGAAGTTTTATAATACCCGCCCTTAAATGGACATCTATCATAAAAAATTGAAATAGACGTATTTGATGACTATTATTAACATCTGTTTTTTTTTTAAAGATAATCCCCCAAGTCAAAAATTTAGTAACTATGTTGGCAACACAAGCCTTTTCTACATGAAACATTTGATAGCATTGACAATTTTACATTGTATTGCCAACCTAATGTCAGTTTGACTTTTATCTTTAAAAAAAAACGCACTTTAAGTCCATCAAATATGTTGTTTTCCATGTTTTATGATGGATGTTCACCCAAATCCCATATATTCATATTTGAAATAAGCAATAGGTGGGAACAAGATGGCCGCGTTTTCAATATAAATTTATGGGATTTTAGAATCAATCAAAAATGAGACAGCAATTGTCGCCACTATAGAGTCACTGTAGTTGACATTGTTGACATAAAGACACAATCACACCGCAGCCACACCAAAAAGTTATGGTTAGAGTGACTTTATTACCACAGTGGCGACAATAGACCTATTTATTTTACCAGACAAAGAGGTAATAATACGAAAACTTCATTAAATAAAAAAAGACACAGAACGCTCGTTGCGCAAGACGAGGCAAAACGTACCAAATTATGTTAAGACTTACGTATAGCAATCCGTCCTTCTTATTTGCACAGGATAAAAAGAAAAGGAGAAGAACCGCGTGTTGTGCAACGTATTTGTCAATGAAAATGTCAAACAACGTTTGAATGACACTTGTCAAATTGAATATCAACTTTAGATTTATTCTTGTCAGATCACGATCACGTGCAATGAACAAGGAAAAAGAGATGCCCAGCGTGCAAAACGATCACCTCACACCTGTATTAGCTAGCCAATAAAAAGACATTGCCTCGTGTTGCGCGCGCATACCAGAGGTGCTTTCCAGTGACCCATTTGAGTTACTCCTGAGCAGCTCAGGAGTGCTCCACAATTGCTTTGCGCGTTCCAGTGCTTAGAGTGTCGTACACTTGAGCTACTCATTTCTGTTATCCCCTGCCCCCTCGTGCACCAACCCATTTGTCTGTGTTTCATGCTCCTGAAATCCGAAATGGTGGGGGGTTAAGACGAGATCGTTCCAGTGCTGCTTATGTCGAACAGTTCAAGAGCGTCACACTTCAGGAGCATGAGACTCTAACAATTTAGGCACTGGAAAGCGGCTGTAAAAATAGATAGGTCTATTCCCCAAGTCAAAAATTTAGTAACTATATTGGCAACACAAGCCTTTTCTACATAAAAAATTTGAAAGCATTGACAATTTTACTTGTATTACCAACAAAATGTCATTTTGACTTTTATCTTTAAAAAAAAAAACACACTTTAATAATATTAGTTGTATTCCTTTCACACCTAGGAGGAGCTCCGGAACAGCTCCGGGGCTTCACGCGCTTATTCCTTTCGAAAAGTGTTTGTTGCACCACGCATATGTTCCCTGCAAATCGGGGGCGACTAAGCACCGAAGCGAGTAGCTCGAGTGTTTCAAGCTCTTGAAAGGAATACAACTATTAATATGCCACAAAACAGTGGAGGTAATGAGTCAGTGCCTCTGGAAAAGGAAGTTCTATGGCGTATTCGACTACCCAGCGCTGGCTCCGATCAGGTTCGAAAAATGATGGTGCGGTTGCACTGAAATCAAGAGCGGGTATGTGGCGATTCGATCGTGCGCTGGGTCAGTGCGAATTTTCGAAAAAGTGAACTAGCTTCGTGAAAATCCGAGTTGAAGTGTTCGTGTGTGCCCGATTATTGTACTTGATTTCGTTTACTTTTTTCTCAAACAGTTTTGAATCTTCGGTCTCTTTTTAGGAAAACTTATAAAAGCCATAAGTAATTCATCATCATCACTTTCTGAACTACTGCTACTACTACTTGATAATAATTCATCTGCAGCGCAGCTAATAATAACAGAAATATCCTCTTTTTATTATTCATATTTCACAAACTTTTTTGTAAACAAACATTCAAAAACGCAAAATAAATAATTAGAAAGACAAAAGACTGATTATAAATTTGAGGTTATTTTCCCAAAGAATCCAGTGCAATCTACACCGCCAAAAATTACAGTTCCAAAAAGTTCGAACGCTGGAAGAACCACGTTAACAATCCGAACATAAAGTATTGCTCTGCCCGCGCTTAGCTCGGGTAATCGAGAGCCGTTTTACACGGCAAAGTTTCTTCACGAAATTACTTACGAAATTGTTGCCGAAATATTTCGTAAGTCAACTTTTCCTGTTTTACACGACAAGAAAAACTTATGAAATATTTCACGAATAAACTTTTGAAAATGTTCTATAGTTTTTGTGGGCGTGGCCGAAAATATGCGTGATTTTCAGCGCACACTAAAGGCAGTTTCTTTTTCGTGGAGCCTATGAATGCGTCATTGAATTTCCTATGTAATAGATAAGGATAGACTGCTCATCGGTGAAAAAAGTAATGCACCCAAAAACAGCTGGGCAAATAAAAAAAAAAAAAAACTTTATTTATGGAAGGAAAAAACAAATTCAACTTTATGAAACAGCAGGAGGGTGAAAAGATTCAACAACAATTAGAAAACGGAAGTTTTATTTGTTTTGGTTTATCAAAGTATGAGGTTATGATTTGATATTATTGATGGCAAAACGCAACTGCGCCTGCGTATGACTAATATTTTCACGAAACTTTTGCTAGACTTTTATTTACCGTGTCAAACAGGAAAAAGCGAAACCAAGAATAGTAAACTTACGAAATATTTCGGCAATAATTTCGTGAATAATTTCGTGAATAAACTTTGCCGTGTAAAACGGCTCGAAACACGAGAAACGTTTGCTCGCTTATGAGCTGAATCAACCCGAACATAAATTATTGCACTGCATTCGCAAAATGCGAGCCGAGTGCGCACTAGTGCCGATAGTCGAATACGCCATTAATAATTCTATGGGAGAATTCTCATGAGCGTAAGTTGACATTTCTGGCGTAATCACGTGATAAAATGGTTGGGTTTTATTGGAAAAATATTTGACATGTTGGAGATTTTACCAATCAAATTACACCATATTATCACGTGATTACGCCAGAAATGTCAACTTACGCTCATGAGAATTCGCCCTCGACCGAATGGCTGACTGACCGTTTGTTACTTTGAGCGGTTACTTGCGGTATGTCGAACGTCGAACCGGAGCATGATGAAAATGCTTTAGATGATGAAGTCTGCCATACCGTGCGTTCGGTATTTTGATCTGAGTTCTCCGAGCTTGAATTACTCGTTCGTTTATTAAGAAGTGTGCTCGGTACAGGCCACTGATCGTACAGGCTCACTCGCGTTCCTTTATAAAATTTCAAGCTCTCTGATACCAAGGATGATACACACTACTACTACAGGATGGCCTATCCTCATAAAGCCTGTGTGGAACAAATCCCCCCCTATCCCCCCTGTTAAACAACCAGTTGTGACGTCAGCAGCATGGCGTTTCTCGCCGTGACGTAGCTGTTTAAATAGCTGACGACTTGGTTATGACGTCGGCAATGGTTGAAAATAGTTGAAAAACAATATGGAGGCGATTACCAAAAACGATGCCGATAAGCACTCCGAGTGTGTATTCTCCTTGCTCTGATACAGCGTTTAACTGCTTTGTGCGCTCGCTAGTTACGTGATTACAGCTCTGCTCAGCACGCTCTGCTCATTGAGCAAAATACCGAACACAAGGATAGGCCTTATCGGATCGCTGGTCGCTGATCCGATAAACCGAATCACTAGTTGATGTTCTTTGTCTTTTTTCAATCGTGTTCATCAAAGAAAGATAAAAGACAAACAGCTGATGGTCGGATTATTCAAACAGCGTTTCTGAAAAGGCCTATTGCCATTTTTGTTTTGACATTTATATTCGGATTCGGTTTATTTGACTTTAATCTTTTTCTTAAATTTCACTTTCTGTGATTTGGTTTTTGCTTTATTATTAATAATTAAAATGATTAATTTTCAATTTATAATAATGCTAAATTACTTGCAGAAGACGAACTGGCCAGTTAGCTATTGTTTCATGGAGCCGCAACAGAAAAACAAATTTTTGGTAAGATTTGTCCAATACACTTTAAAATCTTGAAGAAAAAATAAATCACTAGCATATTATATGGACTAGTAGTATTTTCAATGAATTATTTCACTAAAATTTGTAAAATAGCATAGTATCAACCTTTTTAAACTGTTTAAAAACTACTCCACTTTTGGTATGGTTTTATGAAAATGAAACCTTGTAAAATCTTATCTGCAACATGCAGTCAAAATTAATTCAATAAACTCAGAATCAATAAATAAAAATTATAATAATATGTTAGAAAATGCTCGAGTCAAATCATAAAAAATAAAATAATACACCTGCTTCTAACAAGTCTCGGCAATTGCCACTTGCGCAGCTATTGAATGGACTTGGCCAGATTTTGTTTCTCAATGTCTTTACATGTGGAAATATGAAATTTTGTCTTGTATGTGAATAAACAGTAACTTTTCGATAAAATTCAATTAGAAAGCTTTTGTTTAAAATTTTAATCTGGTCCAGTCCTAATATCATATTTTATCCTGGAAAAAAAGCGCGCGCGCTTTGTCACTAATCCACTACACCAACCGACAATAATTGGATCTATTTGTTTGGGAAAACACAAACTGATCTGTGATAACCCAAATCAGCACAATAATTTTCACCCCAGAAAAATAAGTGGTTGGTGCAATCAAATGACTAGATTAATTCTGGTTCTGATCTTGATCTTGATGATTTTGCCTATATTTCTTGAGAACACTGTTAGCAGCTCCTGGACAATGTTATCAAGAATGGTAAATTTCCAGAACCTTGGAAGAAAGCTAAATATACAAGAAGGGAAATAAGAAGCTAACAAAAAACAGAGTATTTGTGTGACCTATGTCATGGACTGCATCATTTGTAGACAGAACCAATATTTTATATTGCGAATAAGTATTGAGGCATGTTGTTATCCAGAATAATGGTTACAACATTAAAAAATCAACTGTGAATTAGAAAATTTCACTGGATGATTCAAAATGTGTTGTATTTCTACATATTGGCCAGACTAATTTCAAGTATGATTACATATTCAACAAAAATCATTAGAAAAGTCACAAATCGAATCTATGGTCCTCATAATCCATGCTATTTCTCATTTTCCTGTTTTAGAGTTTTGGTGTATTTCCAACATGGTTCCAGTTCCAAGCATAATATTAATTATAGCCTCATATAATTTAAAAAATTTATTAAAAAAATTACCCTATAATAATAATTAATTTTATAAGAATTTGAGAAATGGAATTTGCCATAATTTTATCTAATTTTCCTATTTTTTCAGACATCCCTGCCCTACTTCTTAGAAAATGGATGATTCCATAACGGAATCTGGCAACACCGAGCTTTAAGATAAAGGAATCTAGAGCAATTGAAAGAAATCTGTTCAGGAAATTAATCGTATGGGTTAAATCATTTCACGATAGATGGCGCCACCGATGCTTCCCAGGACCAGGAAGACCCGCCTCCTACATTTTGAACACGTTTTTTGTCTCGTAATTTGCAGCAAAATCGGTGGAATTTCTTGGAAAAACGCAATAAAAATTAACGTTTACTACAAACTATTCTCTAATAGTGCGGTATAATCTAGAAAATCGCGAAAAACAAGAATTTTCCGTAAAATGTATTGATGTGATATTAAAATCGAATGACTCAAAACGGAAATCGCATTTGCTCCTGTGCCCGTCTGTCACGGAGCGCACGCGCTTGCTGTCATTTGAAAAACTTGAAGTAAACCCAAAATGGCCGCGGAGTGTAGTGTTGAGTGCGTCGTTGCCCCGTTTTTAAAAAGGAAAGTCGCCATTGTTGTCCAATAAAACTGACCAAAGGAGTCGTTCAAAAGCATTTCCGAGTTTGCCGAGTATTTGAAGACGTTTCGGTTCCGTTTAGTGGCTTTTCGAAGCAAATTCCGGTCCTGTAACAGTGTTTAAAAGTGGTGCAATGTTTGTTGTACGAGTATTTGTGCTTCTTGGACTTGGCGGCAATGATGGCAGCGGTGCTCTTTAGGCAAAAAATGTTTATCGGCGTTTCATAAGCTTCGCCTCCGTCTTGGCGTCACGTGGGAGTGTTTCGTTTCAAATACCTACTTGTCTGTTATCGAAAAATGTGTTACATTACCGGAAAAATCAATTTTTATGTACTCCTCTTGTGAGTAATAACATAACTGGCGATAATGGAATAGGGGCGCATTAATTTCACTGTTGAACTTGTATGTTTTCAGGCGGCTAATTTACCGGTCCGAATTTTTTAAGCCTGTGCTTCATGAACAAAAAACGTATTTAGATTAGTGAAATGCTTATGGTGAATTAAAAAATAAAACTGGATGAATGGGATTACGTACGGCCTCGGTGGGGTGTCCCAATGTGGTCATGGCCCCAGCTCTAACTGACGCAACCCAATCTCAAAATTTTAATTCACCTACCAGTCGTTGTCAATCTCCGATAAACAAATTTGAGACAATTGTTTATTCGCCTGCTGCTGTGAAAAAGTGTCTAAGCCCTCTAAACACCGATGATTTAACCACTTCTTTGGAGCCCCTAAGTTTATATCAGAAAACGACTCAAATTGAACTCTATTTAACTGAGTTAAACTGTGCCTCGGAAAAAAAACCTTTCAATAATATGAACTCGCCACCTATGGGTGATCAAGAATTACAAGAAGACAAAATGGGTCTACAAAAAACAGGATTAAATGTAAATAATAAGCTGAGAAATAATAGTGATGTTGTGGATCTTTTCAGCTCTAATCTAGAGGCTAATGTAGAAGACCTGATGCAACAGGTAATCAAATCAATTGAAAATAATGATCAGCTTAACAGTTCTTCTGATCTTACTGAAGTATTGGACAATATAAACATCGACAAAGATCTTTTAGAGCAAGTGGATAGCATTATAAATATCTCAATGCCTGATCAACCAGATGACCTGGAAGCTGCTCAAAGAATAAAAGAAAATCAAACCACAGCTTTATTAACTGACTCTGAAACTACACACCACAAGTTAAAACGGAGATTAGCCTTCCTTAGAAGACGCGCAAACATTATATCCTCAAAACTATACGCAGCACAAGTTAGCTGTGAATTTGTAGGTGTCTTTGAACGAATCAATGGATCAGTGAAAAAAACAAAAAGTCTACCAGAAGTTTATCCTTATGAAAACAAACCCCTTCAGGTACAAGCTGCCAAAGCATTAATAAAAAAAATTGAAGTTGCAAAAGAGGTGCAAGCCAATGCTGTGGCAAGACAAAAAAATGTGCCCAAATACTTTGGTTCGGGTTCCCTTGAAGTGACCATCCCTCGACCCAATAATAATGTGAATATTCCCGAGTGGCCGGACACAGACAAACAAGAGCTGACCAAAGTAACTGAGCAACTTCAAAATCAGCTTCATTTTTTGCAAAATCAAGTGGATTCTGAAGCTACGGATAGTAGTTCAGATGCTGAAAGCTGTGACGAATTGGAGGTCTATGATAATCCCCATCAACAATACCTGACCATGTAAGTAGCAACATTTTATTCAGTTATCTTACTTAACCCTTATTAATATTGCTGATTGAGACAATTTATAATTTCCTTATTAGGTAACAAATTGTAAAAATTAAGTCCATTTCCTGATGATGTTTTTTCAAAAATATTTTGTTTTTATCAAAATTATTGTTTTCAAGTGCTCCTCAATGATAAAAAAAAGACAATTAAGTTTATAAATAAATTTATTATAAAAAAATAAGGGGCTGCTGTTATTGCGACACGGCTACTTATTCTGGATGGTGAATTCAAGGGGTCACTTCATCCAAATAATGTTTACTTAAATAAATTAGATTCAATAAAAATTTAAAATACATTAGAATTTAGAATTCATACACATGTTTCAACTTCAATTCACTTTCTTTACACATAACTACAACTACCTAAGTACTTAGTACTTTTAAAAACTTAATTTGTTTGGGCTCAATGACATTCAATTATTCAATTACAATTTGACAAAATTTATTTAATTATTTATTTCATTTGAATTTATTTATATAATTAATTACCATTCAAAACAATTAATTGTTTTCAAATTAAATTCAATTCACTTTGTTTTTGTTTACAACAGCGCGGCTTTGTTTTAAATGAATCACATCAGTGATGAATCGAAAGCCACCAGTCTTCGATAACAGAAAAAAAAAAGTTAAATTTCAATTTATTCAATATTCAATATTCAATATTCAATAATAGTTAACAGTTTCATGATTATAAACATAATAATGTACTTAAAACTATTTAATTATATGAGGCAAAAAAAAACCCCTAGGTGCTGTGGCACCTGTATGGGCTCGATATTATATAATAATACTAATAATAATATGTTACAGGAGTGAATATCTATTGAAATGAGAAACAATTAACAGACAACCAAAAAAATACAATAAACTGATAACCTATCCAAACTTTAACAGTGTGATGTTACAAATTTTCATATCTACAACATATCATCCACAAGATAAATGATGGATTACCGACTAAATACAATGACAAACTGGTCATACTGTTCCACTATAAAACTCTTTGCCAATTTAGAAAAATGCCTAGCGCTTGAGCACCTAATGCTATGGGGCAACAGGTTATACATTTTTGGACCCAGGTATCTAACTGATTTCTTACCCAACTCACTTCTGCATTTTGGTGTAATCAGATGACTAGATTTATTACTTCTAGTGCCATAACAATGATCTATAGTAATTTTGTTATTATGATGATTATATATATAGCAACATATTGTATGGAAAAATATTGTTCTTACATTTATAAGTGTTTTGTTGTAGATGAGATGAGTTGGGTATAATATATCCTTTTTATAAATTATTTTTAAAATTCTATTCTGAATAATTTGAAGTGGTCTTAGAGAGGTACTATACATGCTACCCCAAACCAATATTCCATAGCGCAGTACTGATTCGACCAAGCTCTGATACAGGGTTATCAACATACTTCTATCCAAAATTTGTTTTAGTGTGTAAAATTTATACATCAAGTACTTTAACTTTTTACTTAGGTAAGCAACATGTAAGTCCCACCTTATGTAAGAATCTATTATAATTCCAAGATATTTAGTGCTTTTAACTTCAATTATTTTCTCTAACAAATTTTTAACTTCAATATAATTAAACACAGGTCGATTTTTTTCAGTTTTAGTGAATGCAATATAGTTGGTTTTTTTAACGTTCAGTGACAATTTGTAATAGTCAAGCCATTTTTTCACTGTGAAGATGCCATTTTCAGCATTTTCTCGAGCCTCCTGCCAGGTCAAACCATTGAAAACAATCACAGTATCGTCAGCATATGAAATTACTTTTCCCCTGATTTTTAATTCGGTTATTGATTTTATATATAAATTGAAAAGTATTGGTCCCAAAACAGTTCCTTGCGGAATTCCAATTTTCACTATATTAGGGTCACTTAAAGTTTCCCGTATTTTCACTTGTTGTTGTCGATTAGTCAGATAGCTTTCAAACACCCCCAACACAGTACCTCTCACACCATTTTGTTCAAGAACATGTAGGAGTTTTTTATGAGGCACTGTATCGAAGGCCTTTGCCAGATCCAGAAACACAGCCAAACACTTTTTATCAGTATCCAAATTTTGTCGAATTTCCTCTATTAAGTGATACATAGCATCACTTGAGTTCAGACCCTCTGTGAAACCATACTGATTCGGCGAAAGTAAGCCATTTCCCTTCAAAAAATCATTAAGCCTTTCCCTCAAACACTTTTCAAAAAGCTTGGCAAAGTTTGAGATTACACTAATCGGTCTGTAATTACAGACCTGGTTCGAATTTCCCGATTTCAGTATTGGAGTAATTATAGAGATTTTAAGTTGTTCGGGTACAATTCCGGTTTCAAATATTAAATTTATAATGTATTTAAGGGGCATAATCAGGTAGTAGTGTAACTGTTTGATTATTCTTGCAGAAACTCCATCATTCCCAGGAGCGCTGTTATTTTTTAAACTTGCTATGTGTTTTATTAGTTCACTATTACCTACTGGTCTTAAGAACATGGATTTATTTGAAATGCTTGAAGGGAACTTCTCCATACTGTCAGGGATGCTATCAAACATGTCTATTCCAACCTTTGAGAAATAGTTGTTACAATAATCACTCATTTCTTTATCATTAGGAAATGCTTTATCATTATCTAAAATATTAATAGAATTATCTTTTTTGTTTTTTATGTTAATGGCTTGATCTATAATCGCATATGTCTTCTTTAAGTTATTTCTGTTCTCTTCAAGTTTTGATTTGTAGTATATATTTTTAGCATTATTGATAATTTTTTTTAGGTTATTTCTGTATTTTTTGTACTCATTCTCTTTTTCTGGAGTATGATTTTGTACCAATTGTTTTTTTAATTTATCTCTGTGCTTAATAGATAGAATAATGCCATTAGAGATCCAAGGTTTGATTTTATTATATTCTTTAATTAAGAGAATTTTTGTTGTTTTGCAAAGTGAGTATATACTTAAAAATTTATCGATAAACTTTTGATATGCGCTTTCAGGTTCTACAGAATTGATCACCTCAAGCCAAGTTTCTTGTTGGAATAAATTAACAAGCTTTGTATAATCAGTTTTGACTATTGTTTTTCTGAGTGGTTCATATGTTTCCGGAGCTGACTTCTGAGAGATATTGAGCATTATTGGGTAATGGTCAGTGATGTCATAGTCTATTATATAACTATCAATTACAATGTTGTTTATTTTGAGATTATTTTTTAGAAAAATGTGATCTAAGCATGTTTTTGTAATTTCTCTAGTGATTGAGTTTATATATGGTTGATAACCATGCAGGCACAGTGCTGAACAATAATTAGCTACTTTTTGGTCTGAATCATCCAGAATATTAATATTGATGTCTCCCACCAACATCTCAACATTTCTAGAGGAATGATTTGATAGGTAAAGGTTTAGATCACTAACGAAGCAGTCTATGGATGTTTGTGGAGAACGATATACACAAGTTAGACCATATTGTATTTTATTTATTTCCAAGGTAACTCTATTAACTATTATTTTAGTGGAAGCAAGTTCATGTGTTGTTATGTTAGCGTTCAATTTAGTTTTAACTAATATAAGGATACCATCGTTTTTGTTCATGTTTCCCCCGTTATAATATGTTGTGTAACCCTGGATTGAGAACTCGTCACAAGAATCCAGTCGATAACATTCGCTAAGTACAATAATATCGCAATATTTGATTTTAAAAGATTCAAGAAAAGATAATAATTCGTCAAAATTTTTCCTAGCACTTCTAATATTAAGATGTAAAACATTGAATTTTTTATCTATTATATTAATTTTACCCAAAATATCCAACGGACCAACAGTCTCACTACATATATCACAGTGAATTGAGTTCAAGAGATCGGCTTCTTGTTGCTTAGACATATTTTATTTTACTTCTTAGCACTTCCAAATGGTACATATATGTTGGACAATGAGGGTCCGTTGCCTCATGTTCGAGGCCATAGCTGGTTTTGTATTTTTTATTTGACGTTTCGCAGTTGATACATTTTTTTCCTTGTCCTGTTACACTAAGCCTACATTCATTTCGTGGGTGCTCTTCTCCGCAATATGAGCATTTGGCCTTGTTTTGACATTGAGTGTTGTTATGGTAAAAACCAGTGCACTTGAAACATTGCTTAACTGAAAGGTTCTCATACACTGGATAGCGTTCCCATCCAATATAGATCTTCCTGTAAGCCATAAATTTTTTAAATAGGTTGGGTGAGCATTCTGCAAAGATTATTTTACTATTTGCTTTGGTGTTTTTGATAAATGTGATTTTAAATAAATCATCCTGGGCAATAAAAGTATTCTGACTTTTTATTAAATTTTCAATTTCTGTGTCCGTTGATGCATCTTCAATAGCGTACCCAACAATTTTTACTTGTGGATTTCGAAGTTTGGTTTCCTCCACTTCATAGTAAGTACTAAGTTTCTGTTCAATTTCGTTTTTTAGTTTCTGTATGTTTTTTGTATCATGACACTTAATTATTAAATTTCCCATTTTGGTGGGCCTGATTTTATTTATTCCAATGTTTAGTTCCGAGGGCTTTATGTGTTTCATTATGTCGATTTTAGTTACTTCTGAGCTCTGTTGTGCTTTTGGTTTGATGATTAGGTTGGGAGTATTATTGGGTGATGGCCCATTTGTCAATCCTTGTTTATTCTGATGCACCACAGCTGCAAATGATTGTATGGGGCCTTCAGTTGATAGATCAAGGATTTTTGATTTTTGTTCATCCAGTTCTTTTTTGAGTAGTAGGATTATTTCGTCTTTACTTGCAATCACTTCGTTTTTGCTTTGAATAAGATCGTTCAAGAGTTTTAGCGCTTGGAGGTCCGTGCAATCTTTACAATAATAATGCAATATTCTTTCCTTTAATTCCAGCACTTTTACTTCTGATGCTGTAATTCCTGAGCAAGCCTTGCATAACTTTTTACAGCAATTATCACA